TTGTGTCACTTTGGAGATTTCTATGGCTTTTATGATTGACAATCTCTGGCATCATTCAAAATCTGGGACTATCTTCATTTCATTTCTGTATTTCAATTTTTCCATCTACTGGAAAACTGAGCTCAATTTTTGTTGCTGAGCACAATGAAAATAAAATTTATGTTGATTTATTGTAATATACACAACAAAACCCAATAATTCTTTTTCCATATATTGGAAAGACCATTTAGCAGTTTTGGTGATTTCAATGTACTTGTTTTCCTGTCCAGTTTGTGTTAGCGTTAAGAAATTCTGTTTTGTGCTGGAGTGCTTGAACTTGTGTCACCAGGCATAACACTCAAGTCATCTTCAAAGGCCTGCCTGGTTGTGCTACAACCTGCATATGTCCATCTAGCAACAACTAGGAAGAGTGCCTTCTCTGTGGTGGCACCCATAGTCTGGAATGGCCTCCCCGACAAACCAGTAGCAGACCAATGCAATTATAGTGTTGGCACATGCTGAAGGCCTTTGCTAGTTCCTCATAAGAACATAAAAATAATCTGCTGGATCAGGCCAATGGTCCATGCTAGTCCAGCATCCTGTTATCACGGTGTCCAACCAGATGTCTGTGGGAAACCCTGCTATTATGAGTGTCAATGTATTTGGATTACTTGTTATATTTAGATTTTAGTTTTATTGCACATTGCTTTTTTACTGTAATATTTGATACTGTTATTCTACATGCCTAGAGATGCTGGCACGACAAATGATACATACATACTTTAAACAAACACACTACTGCTTTCAAACACAAAGCAAAGGTTGCAAAGCATTCAGACCCACATAGACCCACTTTCAATCTTCTATCTTAAAACTTTTAAAATTGGGGACGCTTACAGATATGTCTTCACATAACTTTCATTTGGCAGAGACACACATCTGCCAGAGTGACAGCTAAAATTCAAGGTTCTTGATTTGCAAAGTCTTTCCAGATCTTAGAATCATCACAGAAACATGCAACTCCCTAAAAGAATTCTAGTTTAATGTTACAGCTTGCAAAATGTAATGGCATTTCACTTAGGATTTGGTTATGCTAAATCTGTTCTATTGTATCTAGCAATTTTACATAGTATGCTTATAATTGAAGACAGGAGTGCCTGCCGTGTTCTGGTCCATGGGGTGACGAAGAGTCGGACATGACTAAACGACTAAACAACAACAGCAATGCTTATAATTGTCTCCTCCAGACAAACTTTCAGACAAAATGCCTCGTCCAGACAAACCATTAGCCCGAGTTCAGAGAAAATGCTAAGCCAAACCATAGCTTGGCAAATAGCAGCCAAAGGACTGAGGGAGGAGCATAGCAGCTGCAATCTCCTCTCTGGGAGCCCTCATGCTTGTGCATTCACACTAAGCCACAGTTTGCCTTAGAATTATGTTTGAATCAAACAGCAGAAGTTTCCAGGGGCTCTCAGCCAGTATAGTGTAGTGGTTAGAGTGTTGGACTAGGGCCTGGGAGAGCTGAGTTCAAATCCCAACTTAGCCATGATGCTCACTGTTTCTCAGCCTAACCTGATAGGGTTGTTGTGAGAATAAATGAGGCGAGAACGAGATATGTAAGCCTCCTTGAGCTTTTTGGAGAAAAGGTGGAATACAAATGTAAGAACGAATAAAATAAAAAATAATCTCTATAGACCACTGGGCGGGGAAGCAGGAGATAGGACTTCAGGTCCATCAGAGGAAAATTGGTGAACATGGCCCGCTTCACCTTTTGCACGTTGTGCAGGGGGCAGATAATGTAAGGCTGGGTCAGAAGAGAGATCAGAATGGAGACTGCTTTCCCGCCCCACTGCTGGAATCTTTGGGATTTCTCCCCTCCCACAAGGCTCCTAGCACTTGCTATGGCGGGATCTCAGTTCCACTGCAGTGGGGGAATGAAGAGACAATGCTATTCTCCCTGCAAGCTAAAGAGAAAAGGCTATCCACCCTGCAAGCTGCATTCCCAGTGAAATTTTGACTGCCTTGACCTGTAATTACTTCCAAGAAGAACAAGAGACATATCTGCATGCTACGTAATTAAGTGAACGTCATTATGGCATTCTGAATCTTTTAACTCTACTAAATGAAAACCAAAGTAAACAAAACCTTAATGCTTAGGTAATCGCAAGCTCTTGGAATTTTTATGGGTGTTAGAATCATTGTGTTCATTAGTTTTATCTTAGGAATGTAGACTAAACTTCTACAAATTTGTTTTGCAAATCTATGAGTCTCTGGGTGTTGGCAGCTTCTGTGCTAGTTGTGGAGCAAGTGGTGAAGCTGGGATTTATTTTGCTGTGTTTCCTCAGCCTTTTCTGATTTTCTTTGTATGTTATCTTGTAGGTGTGTGCAGGTACCCACAACAGTAAATCTCACTTTGCCAAGACAAATGGTAATGGAAGCAAGATATGTGGATGTATAGAAGAATGATACATAAGCTTCTGTTTGCATTTCCTGGTAACTTCTTGTTATCACTGAATGGCTCTGGAGAATATCTCAGAAAATACTACTGTTATCAAAATTTCATTTCTTGATGAGCCTCTTACAAAGATCAGGAATGCTAGACTGTAGCAACCTGACAGGCGACTTGCCACCCTCTCAAAAATACTGTTTTCACCCAGTGGCAGCTGCTGCCTACTAAACTTGGTAGAGCTGCCAGGTCACAGGGATATGGCCAATGAGGTAATGGAGACATTGCCAAGTTGCTCTGGTTTTCTCCCCATCCTGCTCCCTTGCAAAAAACTGTACAACTACTTGGCACCTAAACTGAAAGGTATCTTACTTTGGTTCAGAAGGCGTCTCTGCTGTCACAGTTGCTCCTCTGCTGGGAGAAAAGTTGTAGGGTATCCACCTCTTCTGGTTCTCTCCCTATCTTCCTCCTTTGCAAAGAAACAGTGGCTCCTTAAACATTTCCATTTTATTAACACATAACAACTAATATAAGTGTTTTTCCTCAGTTCATGAGGACTGTAATCTCATCAACATTATCCCAAGGAAAATATATCAGTCTACTTAATTTGTATTTATTGTTCACTGGGACAAATACAGCAGCAAATACCCTATACCATGTTAACCATGGGCTGCTTACTTCCTTTGTCTTTTCTTTGACAGCTTATTGTGTGGGCTGCAGGGCTTTTGGCTTACTCATTTACCACTGGCAGAACTCCACAGTGTTAATGAGTTGCATGATAGCCACCTCTCCTGCTTTGAAATGGCGACTGCCATACTGTAGATCAGGGGTAGGCAGAGAATTGGTCTACTGGTAGTTTTCTGGGTGAGTGAAAGTAGTTTTGGCAAGGATTTCTGACTCCCAAATATTTAACAATAGCAACAACAAAATGAGTATCTCACCACCTAATAAAGTTTGGTGTAACAAGGAGCTGATTTTTCCTGTGAAAGGACTGTGAGCTCAGTTCAGTTCAGGTACTTAATATATATATATATCAATCTCTGAACTCAGAAGCCACCATGCTCTTTAATTCTAAGTGTATGTTTTTTCAAACCTGGGCTGTAGTTGGCAGCTCTCTGGGGTCTAATAAAACAAAAAGCAAATTCCACAAGCCTGAAGTCTGCCTCTCCATGCTCTGGATACTGGAGAGAAAGTGGTAAAAGGGATAAGAAGCCTCATTGGAAGGAACTATATATTGTTGGAATAAGCTAGAACTGGCGTGACGGCACAAAGAACCTTATAGGGCACAAAGCCTCTAGGACACCACCAGTATTTCTAGGTTCTGCGCTTTGCAGTTTAAGAATTACATTCTAGTTTTTTCTTGCAGTGTTACACATATCTTAGCATTCCAAAAGATCCTGAGGCTGGAGTGGTGCGCTTTTGTGGGGACCTCAACATGGGTTGTACTAACACGGTGGCAAGCAAGATGCCACTGGTGCTGTACATCTTATGGAAAACTAGTCTAGTCCAGGACCCAGTTCTCCCAGTGACCAAACAGATGCCCATGGGAAGTCCACAAGCAGGAATTTCCCTGGAGGGTTGGAGGGTTCTGGTTAACATCTCTTGAGTAGCAAATCCAGGGCACAACACTTGAAACATGTGAAGGAAAGAGAGCTAGGAGACCATCCCATGAAATCCTGAAGCCTATTATGCCTGGCTTAACCACATTATAGCTAAATCATACCCTTCTGTAACCTCCTTAAAAACAGTAACTGAGGTTTATTGAGCATTGGCGTGCTGGCAGAGGCGGCTTTTGGTGTAAATGTAAACAGCACAGATGTTGATATGACGCCATGATTCCAAAACAGGGAAATTCCTGCTTGTGGACTTCCCATGGGCATCTGGTTGGTCACTGGGAGAACTGGGTCCTGAACTAGATGGACCATTGGCCTGATCCTGTGGCTCTTCTTATGCTCTTATAACAAACAGAAGAACATAGGTCCATCTACCTCAGTACTGTCTACACGGTCCAGCAGCTGCTCTATAGGGTTTCAGCCAGGGAACACTCCCAGTCATACCTGCCAAGGATTGAACCTGCCTCAAAAGCCAGTCGCTCTACTCTCTACTGCTGTAAACCACCCTTTGCAATCTTCAGATGAAGGGCAGTATAAAAATGTGATTATTATTATTAATAATAATAGTAATTATAATAATGCCACTGAGCAAGGGCTCTTCCCTGAAAGCCTCTCAAGACAGGAGCCATTCACCATGGCGAGGCCTTGTTTTTCTTCTTCAATCTCTGCTGAGGAGTGCTGTTGTTTTTGCGTTGGGAGGAGCTTTCTGAAATGCCTTTAGGCAGCGCGCCTTGCCAGAATCCAGAAGAGAGAGGGGGAAAGGGGTCCCAGATTATACCATTAACTGGGGTGGGGGGGTGCGCTTCAGAGACCACCTCTCGCTGCCTCTTTCCCTCCCTGCCCACCTCAGCCACGAGGCCGCTCTCCCCTCGCATTCCGCCGCTCTGATTGCTGCTCGCTGCTCCAGGTACCTCCCCCTCTTCGCCTTTTGTTTTAGTGTCAGGCAGCAGCCCAGTTTCCTGTTGATACCGGAATGTTGTGAATGGGCAGGGAAACGCCACCTTCTCCTACTTCCCTCTGCCTTTCTCTTTCTCTCCCGGCCGCCACAGCTGGGAGAGCCTCTCTTGGCGAGCGCCCTCTCAGCTCCTGCCATTCCTTAGCCGAGACCAGAAAGAGAGCGAGGCCTTCGCAGCCTCCCCGAGAGCGCGCTTGAAACTTTCGAGGAAGGGGGAAAGCAAGAAGCGGCGGCGGCGGCGGCGCAGGAGGGACGCTTTGCCTCCTCTCCAGGCTGCGGGCGGCGGGAGCGGCAGGTGCAGGCGCAAGGGCAGCTCCAAGCCACGCCATGGAGGAGCAGAGGGAAGCCTAAGAAAGGGGTCCTCTTCCTCCTTGTCGTCGATGGCTGAAGCCTGGAGGCTGGAAGAAGAAGAGGAGGAGCTGAAAGAGCTCGGCAGAAGGCACAGGAGACCCAGCTTGAACCCAGCAACAGGTAGGCGCGAGAGGGCAGGGAGAGGTGCGCCGAGGGGGCAGGGGTCCGAAGTGGGGAAGGGAGGCACGTGCTGGAGGGGTGGGGGGGGAGAATTCAGCGCCTATATATATATATATATTCAGGAGTTAGGTTCATGCACTTCAAAGAGCTGCAGATTTTACTTCGATGCCCGTTTTTAGGGGGGTTTTTAATTGTCTCTGGTTGCCTTTCCCGACAAGCAACTCCACATGCTTAGGTCTCTCTCTCTGGAAACTGAAGGGATTGCAGTGTGACATGGCAAGGGGTTGTGGGACAGTCAAGGTGTCTCTGGTGACAGGATCAAGCATCCTTTCTGATTCTGCCCTCCTGTTTCTGAATGTGCATTTAAGCTCCTTTGACACCTGTGGACGTGCAGTGCAGAACACACTGGTGGTCATGTGGGCCTGGCCCTCAAATCCAGTCAAGACATAGGCTGTTAAGTTGCACCTTACCTGTGCCCCAGCAGCATACAGTTTGGACTCTATCAAAAAGGGAGTGCAGGCGCATTATCTGGAATACGTACATTTGGGGTTCCCCCACCCCATTACTCAGTGTATGCAGCGGTTTGACCTAGGGATTGGTTTGCAAACACTGCCTTCCCTGTGGTGCCCTCCAGATGTTTTAGACAGACATCAGCTTCAAGCAGAATGGTCAGGCGTAATGGGAGTTGTAGTCCAAAATATCTGGAGGCTCCATTTGGGGAAGGCTGCTGTAATAGATATGCAGAAGTCTTGTGGATGGGCTCATTATTCAACTGTGGTGTTGCAAGCAACGGAGGGTTATGATGTCTGGGTCAGGGAATATCCTTCCCAGTTGGCTACTAAAGAAAGGGGGAGGAACGTTATTGGGTCTTTGTGGAAGAACATTCTGGAACCACATATAATCTTATCTCATGGTGAGTCAGATGTAGTCACTCGTGGTTCAGTGAAAGGATCATATTCCAATACATTTTTTCTTCCTGGTTGGTGTAGTCTACTGTACACTTGAACATTCCCTTTAGTTCTTTGGAATTCTGAACATTAACTTAAGGCACATCCAATGTATCTCTGGTAGCCAACATTGCTAAGTTTTTCACCAAAGATTTTTGTCCTTAACTATTTCTCTGTTTTAAGACCAGAATGTGGATCTTATGTGAAATAAGTATTCCTCCTAAACTTAGCAGGAGAACACTTAGTGATACATGTTTTGCATGCAGGGAATTTCAGGTTCAGTCCCTGGGATGCAGGCCGGGCTAGGAATCTCCCCTGTCTGAAACCTTGCAGAGCCACTGCCACTTGGTATAGAGAGTAATGAGCTAGATGTGCCATTGGTGTATTTGTGTAAGCTTTCTATGTAACTGCATGCCTGAGCCAAGCCACACATAAAAGGAGAGGGAACACTGAAGGGTCATCTACTTTGCAATTTGGCATACTTCAAGGTTTGCACTCTGTTGACTTTGGACTACTACCTTTGCTGACTTCCCAGAATTATCAGTAGTTTCTGTGTTTGAACAGTGGTAGACTATTCCATACCCAAAAGGTGTTACTGTATTTTCTTTCCTCACCTCTTTGGCAGGGAACTTCCTTGTCTGATACCCTCAGAGGTATTTAAGAAACCTTCACTGATAGTTATACAGTTGTGGATTCTTATTAAGCTGGAGCAGCGTAGTTGCAGAAATTCATTCTATGGATTGCAGACTTGTAAACAGATTGACATATTTCTACACACACACACACACACACACACACAGAGAGAGAGAGAGAGAGAGAGAGAGATGTCCATTCACTGGCAAGAAGACTGACTTGGGATCTTTTGTGTTTATGGTGGATTACAGACAGAATCTATTTTATGCTCTTGTTGCCTAATTAAACAGCTGCATTTGGAGCATTTTGGGCTCTGTATTGTAGAAGGGCAAATGCAACTTCAGCAAACAAACAGTTTTAATTAATAAGCCTTCTACCCGTACAGTTTACTTTCAGCAGTGGAATCATGTTCTATCCAGACTATTCTCTGGGTTATTAGTGGCATGCCTTGAGGAAACAAAGTCAAGAATCTATGCTAGAAAAAGGTACAATCCAGGAGCTACCTGTAAGTATCAGGTGGTCAGTGACTCATGCCACTATCAGTAATAAGTGAAGAGTCAACTGGCAAGGAAGCAGGCCATGAGTAACCGCTAGACATTAATCTAAAACAGAACTGCAGTATGTGTAATGCATGGCTGGGAAAACTCAGGCCAAAGGCAGTTTTCGATGCTGCTCTTCCAGATCCTCAGGACTTTCTTCAGACCACTCCCCAGGTCACACCCCCTTTTCCCAGACCACAACCCACACCGGACTTGCTCCATGTCCCTTCCCAGTAATTTTATATAGCTGGAATGTGTCCTTGAACTGTGATACCGCCTCTTGCTTGCCTAGATGGATTGTGTATGTGTGTAAACCTCTGGCTTTTTGCATGGCCTACTTTAAAGGGTCATGTTCATTGCTGTCTCAGTCTTCCCTCTGGCCCTGTCCACCACTGACATGTGGCCTCCTGAAGATTGTGAGGAAATGTGGCTCTCAAGCTGGAAAAAAAGTTCCTCATGCCTCAAGTAAAGCTGCCCCATGCTGTTTGTGCAGATGTTCCAGGAGCCCTTTTGCCCTCAGGCTGCAATTCCACAGAAAATTTCCTCAGCATGATACTAACTGCTTGAATGTGTGCAGAATCGTTGCCTAAATGGTTGTAGTCCTAAGCATACTTACTAAGGAGCAATTCATTTTGGCCTAGTATTTATTTATGAGTAAACATTCTTAGGATTGTGAAGTTAAATGTGGATGGATGCATCTGTCGTTTGTTTAATGTCCTGGATTTAGCTCTGGCCTTGTGGTGTCTATGAATGTTGCAAAACAGGCACTTGCTGTGCTTATAAATCCCCTGTTTACGTTATGCTGTTGTTCTAAGGCTGTTCTTTTAAAAAAGTAATTCTTTATAAACTCATCAGTCACCTTTCTGTCGTTCAGTTTTGTAAGGGCTAGAAAACTGGCAAAATAATTTGTGTCCAATTTCCTCTAAAGCAACATTCCGTTCATAGAAGCATTATTTAATCTTAGCTCCCACATTAAACTTGTTCTAACTTGATTTCTAAAATGCTAGCTGGGTTTTGGACAGCAAAACAAGGTTGTATCAGAGAGATTAACTCACCAGTCAAAATATAATCACAGAAATTACACAGGTGAAGGTAAGTTGGCTGAAGTGAAATCAGAGTTGGAATAGAATACAATTTTGAAAAGCAAATTTGCTCTTATGTTTTAAGCTACTTGGTAGTGTATTATTCTAAGAAGAATCCTGATTTCTAGATATATGTATTTGGGAGGTGCTAGGTTGTATCTCCTCAGTGACACTTATTTAAAATACACATACTGTATATGTGGAATGTTTTACTCTTTTTTCCTTTCCTTTACACCAGTGTTTCCCAACCGGTGTTCCGCGGCACACTAGTGCCAGATTGTATGGGTTGATTTGTGAGGGGTTGCTTGGTAGATAATCTTCCTTTTAGGCAGAGGATTAGATTATGTGTGCCTTTGATCCCTTTCAGTTCTTTGATTTTATGATCTACAGTTCTCTTGGGTAGCAGTGATTATACATATGTACTGAATACCTGGCTGCATCTAAGCTAAAAGAATTGTACTTGTGAGTCTGCTCCAGAATCCAAGGAAGTCAGTAGGAAGAATCCATTGAAGTCAACTGGCTGCAGACCAAGCACTGTTGGAATAAATTAAGGATGGTAACAGAGGCTCTTTTGCTGTTATCTGTTGCAGCTTGTCCTTGGAAATGAACCAACATCACTAAGCATAAAGTGTGTTTTTATTTTACAGAAAAGCACTTGTCTGCTGACATTTGTACCAGGGCGCAAATGGAACCATAAAAGTTGCATTTTTCAAGCATCTGTAAAAAAAAAAAATGCTGAAAAATGAAATATTCTTTTTTTAAAAAAAAAGAAAAAGGTTTAAAGCTTAGTAATTGGGAGAAAGCTATCTTTTTTAAAAAAGAAAAGAAAATCCAAGTTGGCCTGTCCTATATATAATGAAAAGTATCTTGTGTATCTGGGCAGAGTCAAATGAGTTGTCAGGTTGCCCTTTTGGAAAGTGCTGGACTATGAGGAATATGACCGTGCTCCAGATAAAGTCTTGCTCCCTCCACATGCGCACGCCAATAATTTACATTAGAACGCTCTTGCATCTGTCCACAACAAGTTGTTTTAATGCTGAAAAGATAGCATGGAGTATTGAGAACAAGGTCTACTGACGTATATTCACAAACAGATGCTGCAATACGAATAAAGGAGATATAAACAGTGGTGTAGCATGGGTTGCATTCAACTGCCTAACGGTGTCTGCATCACCCAGGAGATCACAGCTGCAGAGATAAGAAAAGAGTTGTTCCGTTGTCTGGAGAGGTCACTTCCTAGTTTGCATGAATAAGCCGTTTTCAATGGAGCCTAGAGACGGAAGTGCATAGCTGTATTGCGGCAGCACTGTGTATTTTGAAATTTTGCACCCCTAAGAATTTTGTGCCCGGGGCAACCGCCATTGTGGCTCCCCCACATGCTACACCCCTGGATATAAAAGCTCATGAAAATGTGAGATAAAGGTGTTGGTTTACTTAGAATTGATTCTTCTTCTTCCTCCCCCTTCTGAAGCAAGCCATCGGGTCTTGTGCAGGTGTTGGCCGTGATCTAACACTAACCAGGGCTTTCTTTCAACTGGGATCTCTGACCCTTGGACAGGCATTCAGTCAAACATGTAAATACTTACAGCAAGGGCCAGCAAACTTTTTCAGCCATGGGCCGGTCCACTGTCCCTCAGACCATGTGGGGGGCTGGACTATATTTGGGGGGGGGGATGAATGAATTCCTATGCCCCACAAATAATGCAGAGATGCATTTTAAATAAGAGGACACATTCTACTCATGTAAAAACACACTGATTCCCGGACCGTCCACAGGCCAGATTTAGAAGGCGATTGGG